CTTCGGCTGAGCTGGTTTGACCAGCCCCATGGGCACCTGGGGCAGGTGGGGAGGAAGGAAAATGAGACTGAAACCGGCCTTTGTAGGACTATTGAAGTAGAACCTGCATTTTTACCACAATTCCTGGGATCCACATGCAAGTTCATGTTTGAGAAGGGCCAAGAATTCTCTACACCACCCATCAACCGCGTGCCTTCGCACAAAAGATTCTGGCAGGTAAGCCGTGGTCCCCAGGCAAGTGCCTTAAACTGTGGTTAGCCTTTCCAGCCTCTGGTCTCAAGACCTGCACTCAACTAGTTGAAAAGGGAGGTTGGCAAATACCTGGGAACTGCTCCCACAGGACCAGATAGCCAGGCAGAGCTCTTGGGAGAAGCTGCTCCCGGCTGGAGCTTCCATGTGCCACGTACATCCGGGGCATCGCTCTTAGCAGTAAGTTTCCTCATCTTTCAGGTATGCTCCTACCTTGTAGGATAGTAGTGTAAAGCTCTCAGAACAGTACCTGGCACCTTGGGAGTACGTAGAAGGTTAGCTGCTACTGTCATCATCATCATTTCAAAATGAAGAGCTCACTGTGTGTCAGGCAGTACTCTAAGTACTTTACATGCATTACTCATTTAGTCATCTCATTAACCCCATGGTGCTACCCAGATATTCCCCGGTCCCCATTTTATGGATGAGAAATCCAGCCTCTGCAGCATGCAGTGTCTCACCTAAGGCCACGTGCCTGGTCAGGGGTGGAGCCCGGACTGGCCCCCAGGTGTGCTTGACTTCACATCCCCTTTGATATTGGAGATGCTGGGTCTGGACCCAATTCACAGATTTGGAAACTGAGGCTTGGAGAGTCAGTGAGGTGCTTGTGCTGAGGGAGAGAGGAGATTTGAGTGTGGTTCTAGCAGCTGCTTATGGAGAAAGGGGGCTGGGCTTCAGAGACACCTGCACAGACCTGCCAGGGGCTGTGAGGTCAGGGCCCTGGGACGGTATCCCCACCTGGATTCCGTCTGCCTCAGCTCCTCTGCTGTCAGTGGGAGGTCAGACCTCTTTTAAGCTGTTAATTATCTTCTCCAGACACACAGTCAGGCTCTTTGAGGTCCTTCTCCCTCTGTCCTCCTGGGCCATTGCTGTCTGCTCTCTTTCTCTTTCCCATGTCAGCCCAGGGTCCCTCTGTCCCTTTGTGGGGACTCCTGGTGCCTGGTGGGGGGGATGCTGCTGGCGGGTCCCTTCACGCCTTCACACACATAGGGGTGGGATTTCCCCCAGGCCCCCAGAACCTGCAGTTTCCCTGTGTTTGGCCTCTGTCCTTCCTGGGGAATTAACCAGACCCACTTCCCTGCTGTGTCCCTGAACGTGATCCTTCCAGCAGCCCTGGGGGACAGCTCCTCTGAGAGCCCCTTCCAGCGCTTAGCAAGGCAGAGCCGGCTTGTGATGCTCTGCAAGGACCTGCAGATGGAGAGCTCCTGGGGGCGGTGGAAGGTGTGGACACCTGGGGAAGGAGCCAGCCTGGCGCAGGCCAGGTGCCCTGCCCGCCCCCACAGTCCCTTCTGCTCCGCTGTTTGTTCCGCACACGGCGTGTTGAGCACCTGTGCTGCCCCGGCCATGCAAGGCCCTGAGGATGCGGTGCTGCGGGAATGAGAGTGCCATCCCCATGGCCTGGGGTGCCCGAAAGCCTCTGTCCGTGGAGCCCTCACTCCTCTCTGGGCCCCGTGCTGAGCGCGTTCCAGACTTCCTCGCACGCAAGCACATGACAGCCTTGTGAGGCTCCTGTTTGCAGAAGAGCACATGGGGGCTCAGAGAGGCTAAGTCACTTGTCTCAGGTGGCAGAGCTGGTAGAACCCAGGTGTGATTCCAGAGGTGTGCCACTTCACAGATGAGGAGACGGAGGCTCAGGAAGGGTTAAACAGTAGCCAAGACTGCCGAACAGTGAAAGCCACAGAGGGCTTGGGGTCTCGTGCTGACGCCCACGTAGCAGCTGGTTGCATCCTTTCCGTTCTCCCAAGCTCCCCACGGCCCCTTTGACCTGACCTGTTCCCATTCTGGGGGCTCTGTATTTTCCATCTGTTTCCGCCTGCGGTTGCTTCCCACTGATGAGGAGGGAGGGAGGATGGGGTCCGTGCTCACGCAGTGTGGCCTGTGCCGTGCCAGCGAGACGATCTTTCACAGACGGAAACACCCGGGACCCCAAACCCAGCTCAAGAGCGGAACTTTCTCAGCCCCAAGAGCCCCCTCCTGCTCCCGCCTAGTCACCATCCCCGGAGATAGTTGACCATTAACTGGACTTTGAACTGCAAGATTCGTGTCCTACACTTTGTTCTTTATATCATTGGAGCCGTAGAGCAGTGTTCTCTGCTTTTTTCGGTTTTTAAAAATATTTGGGGAGCATTTTAAAACAGCTCTATTGAGAGATAATTCACATGTAGTACAATGTACCCTTTTAAAGTCTGCAGTCAATTTTAGAACATTTTCATCAGCCCCAAAAGAACCCCTGTGCTGACTGAGTCCACTGTCCCCCTGCCCCAGGCATCCACCAGTCTGCTCTCTGTCTCTGTGGATGTAAATGGAATCTTATCATACGTGGCCTTTTGTGTCTGGTGTCTTTTGCTGACTACTGCATCCTTTTTTACGGCCAAATAATATTCCATTGGTGCAGGCCAGGTGCTTGAGTGTGTTGCCTCCTTCAGAACTGAGCCCTTGGGAATCTAAAGTGTTGATGTCCACTGACACTGGCTCCTGGGTTTGGCCAGTTGCTGAAAGCAAGCCAGGCTGGGAGCACTGGGGAGAGGGGCGGGCAGTCACACCGAGATGGAGAAAACACAGGGGGCAGGTGGGAACGGAGCCCTGGGACTCGGTCCTGCTTTTCCTCTCTGAGCCTCAGCCTCCCCGTCTGTAAGGGGGGGCAGGACAGGGCCAGCTGTGAGCTCACAGAGCCTTCCAGCTCAGCCGGCGCCTAATTCTCCGCATGTGGCACTTCCTCCTTCCCGGCATGGGTTGGTTCTCGTTTTGAGTTCTGAATCTGAGGATCCCTGAGCATTCTTGTTTTAAGTAGCTGAGTCGGAG